GAGGGTTTGCGGGTCACAGATTTGGGGGTGTCCCTAGGGAGGATTTCAGGGGTCTCTGGGGACAGGTTGTAGGGATCAGAGGTTTGGGGGGATCCCCAGGGTGGGTTTTTGAAGGGGGTCCCAGATCCAGCAGGTCCCCATGGAGGGGTGGGGGGGGTCCCCAGGCCCCTTGGGGTGTCTCATGCGTGTGTGTGTCCCCCAAAACTCACCACTGCTGTGAACTGGTGGAAGTCGGGGCGCAGGTCGCTGCCTCGCAGGTGGATGTAGGAGCCCTTATTGCCCATCTGGTCACTGCAGGGGACAATGGGGACACTTGGGGACATCAAAGCATGGCCCCTACATGGGAGGGGGACCCCCATCGAGGCTTGGGGACCCCTCCCAGGGACACTTGGGGACACCAAGGTAGACCCCCGGCACAGGGACACTGAGAGGCTCAGGGACCCTTGGGGACACCAAGATATGGGGTGGGGACACCAAGGCTTGGGGGACACCTGGGGACAGGGCTCAGAGGACACTGCAGCTCAGGGAACACCAAGGGACGTGGCTGAGGGGACACCAGGGCTTGGGGCACACCTGGGGACAGGGGTCAGAGGACACTGCAGCTCGGGGAACACCAAGGGATGTGGCTGAGGGGACACCAGGGCTCAGGGGACACCCAGGGACCCAGCTGAGGGGACACTGCAGCTCAGGGGATGCCTCAGGACCAAGCTGAGGGGACACTGCAGTTCGGGAGACACTCAGAGACGGGGCTCAGAGGACACCGGGACTCAGGGGACACCCAGGGACCAGGCTGAGGGGACACCAAGTCTCAGGGGACACCGAGGAACCAGGCTGAGGGGACACCAAGGGACCCAGCTGAGGGGACACCAGGGCTCAGGGGACACTGGGGCTCACGGGATACTGAGGAACCAGGCTGAGGGGACACGAAGGGACCCAGCTGAGGGGACACCGGGGCTCCAGGGACACAAAGGGACCCGGCTAAGGGGACACTGGGGTTCAGGGGACACCAAAGGACTAGGCTGAGGGGACACCAGGGCTCCAGGGACAGCTAGGGACCCGGCTAAGGGGACACTGGGGCTCAGGGGACACCGGGGCTCAGGGGATACCAAGGGACCCAGCTAAGGGGACACTGGGGTTCAGGGGACACCAAAGGACCAGGCTGAGGGGACACCGGGGCTCAGGGGATACCAAAGGACCTGGCTGAGGGGACTCTGGGGCTCAGGGGACACAAAGGGACCCGGCTCAGGGGACACCAGGGACCTGGAGGACACCATGGGACCTGGCTGAGGGGACACCAGGGGCTCTGGGGACACCCAGGGACCTGGCTGAGGGGACACCAGGGGCTCCGGGGACACCCGTTGGCCCCCCTCACCGTCCCCAAGCGCCGGTGGCACTCACCAGTAGTTGGGGGCAGAGAAGACGGTGACACATTTGCCATCGTGGGCCACCTCGTAGCCCTCGGGCTTCACCTCGTGGCTGCGGATGATGTAATCGAGGCGGTTGCGCTCCAGGAAGCTCTTGGTGACATCGGGCCCGAACTGGCAGCTGACCCCGCGCTTGCTGACGGAGCGGCCGTTCTGCGGGAAGGCCGGCGTCACCGAGACCTCGGGGACACGGTGGTGGCCG